GTACTGGGGAGGGTGAGGGTTGGGGTTAATCCATAAGGGCAAGGTGCTGGTGTGGCGGGTTTCACTCTGCGTTGGGAATTGTGAATAAGGATACTACGACGACCAGGTAGATGAAAGCATATTTATTTTCACCATCCTGCATTAGAATAGTAGAAAACATCTCATGAATGTGCCCTACTGCGCATTGTAATGAAGTCTGAAATGAACTGTTGGCCATTAAATAACACAGTGCCTTGTAAGAAATGATTTAATAAACCAGGAAGTTAACCAAACAAATAAATCGCCTGGCTTGGCCACTCTGCCTCTTCAAATAAGAGATCCTCTGCATACCGACGAGTGCTGATCAAAAAGTCTGCTTACAATCTGGTGTAAGAACATCACACTGCGACACTGGGTTTATTCAATTCTATTGCAAAAATAAATAAACTCCAAAACTGTTGAATGCATTGTGCAATTATTAAAATGTAATGTCCTGTTTAGTTTTTTTCAATGAAAATAAATAAGCTATAGCCTGCGTGCGTGTGCGTGTGCGTGTGTGTGCGTATGTGTACATGCAGGCAACCTTGACGAGCCAGGCGGGCCCGCTTGCGTTCTCAAACTCCCTCACCTCATTTAGAAAATCAGTCGTGCTTAAGAGATGAAGACGTAATCAAGCAGCTAGCTTGTTTACTTATGAATAACAGAAACTACGCGCCTCTCTCCCCAGCAACCAGAACACGATAAGCGATGCTGCGGTTTTATTTTTAGACATTCAAGTGAAGGAATACATTCCATACATCCATTGATGTTATCGTACCATATTATCACATCCACTCACCTCCCCTCTGCAGTCGTCCATCTTACCGAATAGAAACAGTAAAATGGTAACGGCTTTCATCAAAGACAAGCTGATTGTAAAACGTGCTGATGTACTATCATCAGGGTATCTGCAGGTGTCAACCAGTTCAATTCAACACTTTGATACCCAATTTTGAATACCACATAGAACACAATTTAATACCGATTTCAAGGCCCAACGGCGTATAGGTAGATGACAGTCCTCAACCTGGAAGCATACCCATTTGTTTGTATTGTTGTTCGTTTATTTGTTCCAAGTCTGTAAGTTATCGCGCCAGTGCAGTGGTCATCACGGTTTGTGCACGCCGTGGGAGACAAATAAATATCTGTCACGTAAAACACATAAAAGTATGACATTTATTGGTTTGAGGTTTATTTTTTATCCTCTACCGACAGTCGCGAAAAATATTTCAGACCTATGCAAATGCTATTTAAGAAGGCCTTACATTGACATTTTTGAATTCAAGACTTTTTAAAACTTCGAATGCCTCCACGGGTACCCTGAGCATTAGGAAGCACATCTCAAGGTTAGGTGCATTGAGCGCCACAGACGGCGGTGCTGTGAGTGGTGGTCGTGTGGAGAGGGGTGGAGGATCAGAGGACAGTAGGAGGCATGCCTGGGGGGGGGGGGGGGGGTTGGCAGGGTCTTTTTGAGGGGAAGTGGCTTCCCATGGTGAGGTAGATTGAAGCGGAGCTGCTCTGACCATGAGTATTAATATGAATATATACGCGAGAGGGGTTAAAGTACGAATATTAGCATACACACGAGGGGTTAAATGGGACCGAACACATGGGTGTCACCTGACTGATGGCTGGCGTATGGTTCTGTTCACGCTGAGGTAATTAATCTGCCTCGCAGCCTCAGCGAGGTTCAGAACCTCAATCATTCAAATTTGTTTGCCTTGGCAGGATCGCTGTCCGACATAATTACATGTCACTTCTCTTCTGATTCCATTATTCATTCTGTAGTTTCTCCTTTAATACTGCTGTCGTCACACACACACACACACACACACACACACACACATTCATGGCCTACCTAGAAAAAGGGAGGGAGGGACTGAAAGAAGGAGGGTGGGGAGGGAGGGATGGAGGGAGGTTGTGATTGTGAGCCAGTCTGACAAACCAAAACAGTGCTTAGTATTTCCATTTTATGTGATTCCAATAAGGTTTTATATCACACCATGGATACTGGGTTCATGTTGTGGTTTGTGGTTCTGTGTTTAAATATGATGTCTCAGGCGTCGTATTAACATACAAATGATTCAATGTTTTTCCCTTTAGAGGTTGTCATAAATAAGTGTTCACAGAAAGAATATCAGCCTGTTCAGAAAGTCTCACAATTTTATATATATATATATATATATATATATATATATATATATATATATATATATATATATATATATATCAGAATCAGAATTAGGATTGCAGAGTATATTTGCACATACAAGGAAAGTGACTTGGGGAAGACGGTGCATAAAAGATATATTGAAACATATTGAAGAAGAATGAAAACAAAACATTCATTAACAATATTTATACAGCAAGTTATTAAGAATTATACAATTATGTAGGCTGTGAAAGGCTAAGAGGCAATGAGAGGTGTAGAGGCTATGAAATGGGTTGAGCATTTACACTAGAGAATAAATATAAATATAGATTTATGTGTGTATGTATATACATTTTTATTGCACATGTTTATTTTACACAGGATGTTTTTTTTGAAAGATTCATGGATATCTACTGTGCTGTTTTGAGGTAAACAGATGATGCATGAAATTGAAAGCTGTCCTTGAAAATGTGATTGAATGGATTGAAAGGATTGAAGTGTAGCTAGAGCAGGTATTTAGATGACAGGGTCGTATATAAACCCATTTCATTGATAATGGCACGGCAACTTTTCTACAGACGGAAGAGTATGTCATTAAAAAATAAGAAACACGATCAGAAAACATGTCAACAAAAACATCACGTTCCCTATTAAATATGCAAATGTGAAAGAATATCAAATGTTGATCAAATGTTTGAACGATGGTTGAAACGTGTTTTCAGCCTTGTCTGCCTCCTCTTGAAAATGTGTGAAATACCCCATAGGGAGTGACTCATTGGAAGGTGCGGGAGTCTATCGACGATATGAAAGGCAAGTAGACATGGTTGTCTACCTCCTGTTATTTCCTATTAGGATGTCCTGTAATAATCATAATAACCATAATAATATACTCTACAGATGGAAGTGGTTTCCACAGATAACTTCAACTTGAAGTCATGGAAACGGCTTGGTCAGTAGGTTACTCCAATGCAGAACAGTCACATACAAATTGCCATTTCCATCCACCCAATCATTTTGTATAATAGCTCTGCTTTTTCCACCCGAAATGTTGTTGTCGTCGTCGTCGTTGTCAATGTGCTACTTCAAATAACATTACTAGTAATTATAATAATATTAATGAGGTTACACCTCTTGGACACCTCTCCTCTTGGAAATCGTCTCAGTGGCTTGTTTTCTTTGCCAATGACATGGTGGAGAGAGGCAGAGAGAAGAGACTGTGTGTAAAAGACAGCGTGGCGGAGAGAGGCAGAGAGAAGAGTCTGTGTGTAAAAGACAGCATGGCAGAGAGAGGCAGTGAGAAGAGACTGTGTGTAAGAGACAACATGGCGGAGAGAAGAGTCTGTGTGTAAAAGACAGCGTGGCGGAGAGAAGAGACTGTGTGTAAAAGACAGCGTGGCGGAGAGAGGCGGAGAGAAGAGACTGTGTGTAAGAGACAACATGGCGGAGAGAAGAGACTGTGTGTAAAAGACAGCATGGCGGAGAGAAGAGACTGTGTGTAAAAGACAGCGTGGCGGAGAGAGGCGGAGAGAAGAGACTGTGTGTACGAGACGGCGTGGCAGAGCTGGGGTTAGCTTGGTTAGCTGCAGACTAACAGATGGCGAAGAGACTCGGAGCGGACAGGAGCTCTAAAAATAAACCCAGGTCACTTAATTTCCTCTCTCCACCACCTCCAGCCACAGGGTCATTACCACCCACTTGGCTTGGTTTAACCTGATAATTGCTTAATCCCCCACTCACAACACGCTGTGCAGAGAGAGAGTCCTGGTTAGCCATCACCAGCTCCAGAGCTCTGTCTCCCGGTCTGGAAGGACCTCCTGACTAGCGGGACCCGAGGGGGGGGGGGGGGGGGGACATCTGATATGAGGACCAATGAGACGCCGACGAGGAACAGGTCGACAGCCATTAGCAGAGAGATGTCTGCCATACGTGTCTGCTAAGCGCGTGGTGGTACGCACGGAGATGCAAACCCAAATGCATACACCCATGCGTTTAATTGCAAGCCCATGCACAGCTGCAGCAGGAACACACACACACATGCACACATGCATGCACACACACACACACACAAATGCATGCACGCACCATTTAATCACAAATAAGGATCAATCGTCAATCATATATATATATATATATATATATATATATATATATATATATATATTTTTTTTTTTTTTTTTTAGATTTATTCTGTTTATTCTGAACCCCAGCGTCCACACGCTGACGTATTGATGTTGTCTTCCAGGAACCATCAGCTGGACTTTAATAATGTTGGAGTGGTTCTGAAAGCCTCAGAGGGAGGTTCTGCCTGGAAGGCAGATTTCTGCACAACACGTCAAAGTGGACGAGATTTGATGCTGGGAGACTGGACTCCTCTGCGCGAGAAGGAAAATTGTGCCCATTGTGCAATTTCCCTCCCCCTTGTTTTTTTCCCCCCTTGACCCGCTCCTTAAAAGATACCGTCAGCATCTCGTCTCCTCTAACGATGCGTAATCACGTCGCTCTCGAGGAGCGGCCCGCTAGCCGGTGAGGCTATCGAGCACAGCTGACATCTGGCAACATCTTGGCCAGATGGTTACACTGCACTGATGGTTACACTGGAGATGCGAGACACATCTCCCATCTCCACGGACCGGGAGTCATAGATTTACTGTATCGGACCGCAGTCCTGGGCTTCAGAGAGAAATGAAAAGAAATGTCCTCAGAGAAATGTACTTATTGTAAGAGAGGCCGCCTTGTCCACTTACAAAATATAAGTAAATACAGGTAAGTCAAATGTAAACACATTTAAAATAATCATAATACATCTTTATTAACAACCTGGCAGGCAAGATATTCTAGTGGTGAGGGGATGTTCCGACTCCCAGCCGAAAGGTTTTGGGTTCGAACCCCAATGTCCACAGTCTACCTGTAGGCATCCTAGAGCAAGATGACCCCTAACCCCTACCTGCTCCTTAATGACATGGATCTTTATCGAAATTGAATTGTGGTGCAGGATATTGAAATAAGTTCTAGTTTTTTTTTAATCCTGCACGCACCTCTCATATTTTCCTTTTCACTCCTCTCCTCCTCCTTCTAAAGCCCCGAGCCACCCATCACTCTCCCTCCCCCCTCCCTCGCCCCCGCCCCCCCGATGTTAAGGCAACAGGAGTTGTGCATTTTAAAGAAAGTCCATTTCCCAGCCAAAGTGTGCCACCTGTGTCTGGCAGGGAAGTCCTGGAAAATGCAGATAAATGAACAGAGGCACCCGAGGGGGAGGCAGGAATCTGCGGTGGCTTGGCAGATTTATTCGCCTGCCGACACGTAGAGAGCTGCTCTGCTAAACACAGATTACGGTCTGGGTTAGAGCAACACGTGGCGCACTACCAATACCCCCCCCCCCTCCCTCCTACGGCGGGACCAGCTTGACCTGTAAAGCCCAGCGTTTGCCCGAATGATTTGGCTTCGGTTCTCTCTCTCTATCTTGGCTTCGCCCCCCCCTCGCTGTTCACATCGCAGCGGAAGGCTTGGCGGTTCTGGCGCGGCTCTGGGAGGGGCGTGGATGTGTTTGTTGGGTCCCAGATCTAATCGGAGTCCATTATGCACAAGGCCGTTTGAGTAACTCTTATAGATGTGTAATTAGATGCTTATCAAACGGAGGGGCGGCGGGGCCACGACGGATGTTTTTTGGCTATACTGTATGGGGCTGACTTTGGCAAGCACCACCGTGTTTGCTTTGCTCTCTGTGGCCACTCTGCTCTGAATAAAAGCACACCCACACATGCACACGCGCACACACACACACACACACACACTCAAGCCAAAAAGCCTTGAAGCCAATATTTGAATGTTGGATTGCTGTTGTTTTTTGAACCAGAGCTCATTAAGATGCATCTGATGTGTAATTCCTCCTCTTGTTTTATTAAAAATCGCTGATTGTCCAGACATTACCTGGACAGGTTTGAGGACCTTGGGAGGGACCTTCCACAAGACTGCGGCTAAACATTTAAAAAAGTGGTGTACCAGTTTACATTGCTTTGGGTGATGTGGCGAATGTTTAATATTAGAATTGCAAGGGCTAGGAATCGAAAGAAAAATGTAGGCACAGCACAGGAAGTGTTTTAGATAAATTTGCATATGACACACCCCTGGCTTTGTATTGGTTGATGACCGGTGACGTATGAGCTAATGCCTCCGCAAGAGATGAGAACCTATAGCTAGTCAATCTAGATTTAATGTAGAGTTCACCACCTCCATAGGCAGTTTTGGTGGTTATCTACGTCTCACAATCGTTTTCAGTTTCTGATATGGACCTACCAAGCCACAGATGAATGTTCTGGTTAATCTCATCAGTTACATCAACACAAGTGAATATCAATACAACTACTGGAACTGTTCCTGTGTGAAAGAGAGGTGAAAACCGAGTGGATAGCAACCTGCATCCCCTCCCCGACACAAGAGTGAAGTCTCTTGAAGATGAAATATTGAAGGAGGTGTTTCTTTAATGCCTGATCCCGCTGACAGCCATCATCTTGTACCTCCATGTTGGTCCGTGTGGAACGGACGTGGAGAACTTCACTTGGAGGCAAGTTCTCCGCAACATCAATCCGTCAAGAAAAAACAAAAGACTAGATGTTCACACTTCAGTCAGTCAGCAGTCTGTTTTGTTCGACCTTCAAAACAGCAACAACATTAGTGATATTAGGTTAATTAACGCTGTTGCCATATTAATACTTTTAGTTCCCAGAAATAATGTGATGAACTCATTTAATCACCTTTCCACTAGATTGAAGATATAGAGGAATAGTAGCAATGATTAAAAAACCAAACCAAGTGCGGATTAGGTGGTAAGAGGTATTGAGTACGGCAGTGTGTACCAACGGTTTTTTAAAAATACAATTTATTTTCAATTCCTAATTTAATTTCATTACAAACATAGCAGTGATAATTGGTCTAGAGTTTGTAAACACAAATATAACTGTTAATTCCTCACAGTTAATGATTTTCAAAATAAAGATGTGTTTTTGCTAGCCTGTGCTCAACGGATAATGGACCACCCACCTACCATAGGATAATAACATCCAAACACAAGCCCAATTAAAGCTGCAAGCCAAGCTAAAGAGTTTAGCCAAAAGGCTGCTTGCTTCGGCTTTTCTCCTCTCCTTAAGTGTCGTTACCTTAAGTTCTCAGAGGCCCGGTTAGCACAATAAACGTAGCAATCCTAGGGGATTACAGGAGGTCGGTGTATACTACTTACTAGAGGAAAACTTAATAAACTAACAACTCCACGTAATGAGGTCCCAAACTCTTTTCTTCACCTCTGAGGGTCGCAGAGAAGTTGGGAAAGTTTTCGGCAAAGGTGTCAAGGTTTCTCATTACAGAGCCAGAGCACATTAAGGCTCTTACATCCTCACGATAAACTCTATGTTCATTAAAATGTTAAGTGCAGCCTCGTAAAGCCACATGGTGCTATTACCAGAATTATAAAACAGTAGCCTACATACAAATGTTAATTAACCTAAAGAGTTAATGGTTTGTTGGGTTTTTCCTGTTGACAGGCCCAGTGATATTTCCTGTTAGCAAGCGTTAATCAAAGCACTTTCTACATTTCCGTAGGTTTAAATGTGTTTATTTTTAACACACCAATGCATGGTAATTATAATATAGTAGTAGTAAGATAAAAGATAAAAGGTTAATTCGACAAAGTGCAATGCAAACTGATTTAGTGAATGAATGCGAATAAATGATGACGTACAGAACTCACGTGACTTAAATGTCACTCCAGCTTGCTGGAGCCTAAGTCAGTTAAAGTTTAGTTTGTTTCTTCCAAGTTTTCGTTTTGTTTGTTTTGAGGTTTGATTGGCGCTCTTTTAATTATGTCATCTCGTTGTGCCCTCTTCTTCTGCAGTGGTTTAATGGCACCTGAATGAAGTATTAGCGCCACCTACTGCTTATCTCGATGAACCAACTCCTAATATTCAAAAGCAGTAGTGGATGGAAAAGCGCATTCATTTGCATTTTCGTTTGCCGATTTTCTGAAAATTCAATTGAGATTTGCGATACATTTGGATGGAGACCCAGCTAGTGATGCGCTCAGGACCGAGGTGCTTGCACCGAGATCCGTAAGCATCCTAAGTGCCAATGATGAAGGCACACCCTTGAGGGTAATGTTGCGGTACAATGGTTACCAACTAAATACAATATATAATCAAAATGTATTCATATTGTGGGGCAATTCGCTCTCAAAATAAACAAAACATGTTGCTAGTGTTATCTCCGTTTCCCTGGAAATACATGGGGTCTGACTAATACCTGGAAAACAATCAGACACACCCATATATACGGAATGAAACCTAGTTTACTACTCCAGCAAATCCACCATATAAATCAAAATGAACAACAAAATGCTACTTTTGTACCAATATTGTAGGCTACTGTTTTGGTTTAGCTCTACTGCTATAGGAGCAGTTACAATGTTGCCCTGGAAATATGTATAGTTTTAATCAATGGCAGAGCACGGCTAGGTGTGCTGTCACGCTAATTTGAGCACGGTCTAAATGTCTATCTGTTGTATAATCTACAATCATTCTCTCGATGAGATGATAAGATAAACAGATGATGTCAAGATGATGGAATACAACAGATATCATGAAACATGCATTTGTTCAGCAATCAAGACAGCTCTGAAATCACAAAGGCCTCAACTTTGAGAATATAAGTCACACATCTCTTACATTTCTTATCTGAATTTCAGAGCTCTGATTTCCCTGCCTTGATGACAAATCAAATCATGGCACAATTTGGTTCTTGGCAGGAATATTTATTTTACAATTACCCTTTCAAACATAATTTGAGCCGTATTGATCTTAGATGTGTGAATGCTTATTGGTTTTAAATGTTGCATTGGACTGGGAAGAGGGCTGAGAAAAACGGATTAACAAATAAATACATCGGCACTAAAAAAAAAAAATCAAAACCATTAAATGTAGCCTATAAAGCGTTTGTTGTGCACACCCTGACCACTAGTATACTTTATGGCCATTATTAATGTATTTCAGACAATGCCCCATAGGGAGTGTGTGCATCGCTCCGGTCTCTTTATGGCTGCCAGTGGATTGTAGCTCCTTACGGTTCCCTCAGCTTTTACGAGACTTGATTTCATCTGCGCCCGATTTAATAGACACTTATTCTTTTAGTTTCATTTGTTTGATTCTTTGAAACAGCACAGCCTTGAGAGTGTGGTGTAAAGGCAAAACACGACCTTGGAAATACAGAGCCCTGAAAACTAGCTTGGTAATTAGATGCCAAATGAGTCCTCCTGGACCAATTAGGCAGCAGCATACAGAGGAGCGCTCTATAACGCCATGTCAACAGAAATAAAACCAGAACAGGGATACACAATCATGACTTCAACTGACACGTGTGAATGAGAGGCACATCAGATGGCGCGGGTGGGGGTGGTGGTGGTGGAGGAGGAGGTGGTGGAGGGGTTACAGCTGGTGACCGTGGTGGGGTGTAGGGTAGAGGTGGTTGGGGTGATTGAGTAGGTGGTGGTGGTGGTGGTGGTGGTGGTGGGGAGGTTAGGGGTGGTGGTGGTGGGCTAAAAATAACTTACAATATAAAACACAATGAGAGACAGACCAAACTAAAACAAACCGAAAGATAAGACGGGGATGGAGACCTATAGAAAGACTGAAAATTTGTTTTTTAGAAGCCGCTTAAAACCGTCTAAAGACTCAGCAGATCTGATGGATTGGGGAAGATGAGTCCAGAGGGTTGGGGCTGAAACAGCAAAGGCGCCATCACCTTTTGATGGTGGGTAGAGGGGGAAGGGGGTGGCGGTTAGGGCGGGGCTGGTGGTGGAGGAGGAGGTGCTGGAGGGCTTAGAGCTGGTGAAGGTCGTGTGTCGGAGGTGGTGGT